GTGCTCCCAGAGGGATATTTTGTGTTCCAGGAGGGATATTTCGTGCTCCCAGAGGGATATTTCATGTTCCAGGAGGGATATTTCATGTTCCAGGAGGGATATTTTGTGCTCCCAGAGGGATGTTTTGTGTTCCAGGAGGGATATTTCGTGTTCCAGGAGGGATATTTCATGTTCTAGGAGGGATATTTCATGTTCCAGGAGGGATATTTCATGCTCCCAGAGGGATGTTCCCATGAGGTCCCTGCTGGGGGGTTCCACAACCTGCCTGGGAAGTGCTGCCTCTGCAGAGCAGTTTGGGACATGTCAGAGGCATCACCAGGACACTGCTGGGTCCAGCTCCTTCCTGCTCCTTTGTGTTGGTGACACTGGAGGTGGGAACAGCCTCCAGGCTGCTCCTCTCCTGCACTCCCACAGGCAGCACTTTGCATCCCTGTTCCAGGACTGCAAGGAAAACTCTCTGCTGCCTTCATCCTCTGGCTTGGGTGCTCTGTAAGAGATCCCAGTATTCCCACAGAGCCCTGTTTCCTCCCAGTCTGTGTAACAGTGGGGGGTTTTATACAACTTCCAACAGTTCTGGGAAAAGAACAAAAGGAAGAGAAAAGGGAATTGGCAACAGAAGGGGACAAACTTGAAAAGAGAAGAATTCAGCTGGTTCAGCAGCTGTTGGACTGATGTGTCCAGCAGTGTGTGCACACTTGGGAGAAAATATGTGCTGTCTCTTGCCTTGCATCCCAAAAATGTCCATGTTGGGCATGCAGGGAGAGAAATCTGGACTGTGGGGTGTGGGACACAGAGGGTATGAAAAGGAACAGAAGGTGAAGTGGGAAGAATAATTTGGAGGGAAGACAATCCCTGATCCTGCAGAGGGATGTCAGGGAACCTGTGCTGGAACTGAGGTCACTTTTAGGCCAGTGGTGAGGATGTGGGTGTGCAGGAATCCAGACTCCCTGGGCTCAGCTGCTCCAGAACTTGAGCCATTTCTTTCCTGGCAGTAAGGAGCGATCTTGGGAGAATATCAAGTTTAAATTCATTCTGGTTATTTGCTTGATGGCTTTTTGATGATGTCACCAGCTGAATCCTTGGCCTTGCTCTGATGGAAGTGTTGGCTCTGGGACTGCTGCAGTTATCAGTGGTCCCGTGTCCTCACAGAGGATCACCTGGAGAATGCTTTGCCTAAATTATCCCCACTTGATGGACTTCCAGACCTGGAAGCCTGAGGAATGGGGATGGAAATCCACACCTTGGTTTCCTGAGGATGTGGGTTTGAGGGGCTCAACAGTGTAAATGCTGGCCAGGCTGGCAGACTGAGACAGAGCACAGGAGCTCTGATGGAATGCTTAAGGCAAAGACTGAACTGAAAGCTGCCCTACATGTTCTGACTCGAGGGAACTTGACCCCTCGAGGGAGGGACCTTCATGGGATGTCTTACAGCCCATGATATGATGCGGTGAAGTGAGCTTTTGTCCCAACTATTGCAGTCCATGGGAGAGAGACCTTTGCTTGGAGTTGAAGGGCTGAGAGGGGCAAGAGGAGACCCCTTGTGTGTAATAGAAAGAGATCCAGCTACAACTCCAACTCCAACTGCTGCTTGGGAGAAGAGAGAGACTGCTGCCCTGAAAGTGGAAAGGATCTTTCCTTCTTCCCTTCTGAACTTTTACTGGAGGGAAAAGAGATTTGATCCAATGTAAATACTGCTTTATCATAGGAGAAGTAGTTAGGATTGTGTATATAATGTATTATAATATTTATTTGTGGAATTATTGTAATATAATTCCCTTCCCCCCATATTGAGTCCTGTGTTGTGTCTGGAAAACCCCTCTCACACTGGGGTGAGTTGTGGGAGGGGGGCTTGGACTTGGCAATTGGATTTTTGGGGGTTTCAAACCAGAACAATGCTCAACCCCAGAATGACCCGTGGAGCTCCACAGTGGGGAGCAGCACCTGCTCCTGCTGGGAGCTTGTTCCACTTGGATTCCACACTCGGACTCACATTGATCTGGACTGGTGTGAGTCAGTGACAGCTTCATTCCCCTCTCTGCCCCCTGTTCCCACCCCCCCCAGTGACGTTCGAGGACAAGAAGCGGGAGAACTTCGAGCGGGGGAACCTGGAGCTGGAGAAGCGGCGCCAGGCGCTCCTGGAGCAGCAGCGCAAGGAGCAGGAGCGGCTGGCACAGCTGGAGAGGGCAGAGCAGGAGAGGAAGGAGCGCGAGCGGCAGGAGCAGGAGCGCAAGAGGCAGCTGGAGCTGGAGAAGCAGCTGGAGAAACAGCGGGAGCTGGAGCGGCAGAGGGAGGAGGAGAGGAGGAAAGAAATAGAGAGGAGAGAGGTAACGGGGGAGCAGAGCTTGGGTTGGGGGCTGTGTCCTGGGCACGGGGGCTGGGGGGGACCAGGTGGGAGATGGGCACTCAGGACCGGGCTGGCATTGGGAGTGAGCAACACTGGGAGCATGAACCCACATTTCTGAGGGCTTGGAGGTGAGGAAGAGTCAGCAATCCCTTCATTTTTCCTGTGGAGTGAATGGGTGAGATGTTTCAATGTAGGACAGTGTGCTCCTGACCTCTGACTCCTTTAAAAATAATAATGATTATTATTATTATTATTTGATATAAAGAGATGCTTGAATGAATGAAGAAAAACCTATGGCATTCATGATTTTCCAGTGATGAGGTGATTTTATAGAATCCCAGAATGGTTTGGGTTGGAAGGGACCTTTAATATCATCCAGTCCCTACCCCTGCCGTGGGCAGGGACACCTTCCACTAGCCCAGACTACTCCATCCAACCTGGCCTATGATTTGGGCCAGGCCTTTAATTTGTCAGAGGAAACACACCCTGGGGAACTTAAAAAGCTCTCATTTTCTCCCACTGCCAAACAATGATGAGTCCAGTGCAGAGCACTTGGCTGTTCTTTGCAAAGCTGCAGGGTGTCCAGTGGTGGGGCTTAGAAAGGGATTTGATACTTTTCTGGAGAGTTTTCAAAGCCTTAATATGAAACAAGTTGGTGAATCAGAAAACTGGACCTTGGGAAACGTGAAAATGAAGGGATTCTCTCTTTAGTCACCTCTGCTGTGCAGGGGAGCCCCATCTCAGTGAGCACTTAAAGCACTGAGCAATTTGTGTGCTTAGAGGCACAGAGCAGCCTAGGAGTGTGTTTTTATTAATGGTTTAATTGCTCATTAAAATATTAATTATAACGGCAATTATGAATTATAATAGCAATGACATGTGTCTAGCAATTATATTTATTTATTTTAAATTTATTTTCAAGTTAGATATCATTTGTTTTATCGTATATAATTATATAAATCATATAAATTTCCAATTCTGCTTTATTTTTCCCTTTCTCCTGGGATGCCCCAGGCTGCCAAGCGGGAGCTGGAGAGGCAGAGGCAGCTGGAGTGGGAGCGGAACCGTCGGCAGGAGCTGCTCAACCAGAGGAACAAGGAGCAGGAGGACATTGTTGTCCTGAAGGCAAAGAAGAAAACCCTGGAATTCGAGCTGGAAGCTCTGGTAGGTGATGGATCCTGGGTCAAACACACAGGGACAGTGTGGCAGTGTGACAGTGGCTGTGCCATGGCCGGGTTTATTTGCTGGAATTTTGGTTGTAAATATGAAATAAAAGTACTTTTTAGATCCTGACTCGCCTGACAAAACGTTCTGGTAAAAATAAAACCAGAGCTCTTTTTCCTTCCTTTTCAAGAATGACAAAAGGAACCAGCTGGAGGGAAAACTTCAGGATATCAGGTGTCGGCTTTCGACCCAAAGACAAGAAATTGAAAGTACAAACAAATCCAGAGAGCTCAGAATTGCAGAAATCACCCATTTGCAGCAGCAGCTACAGGTGAGAAAACCTTCTCTGATTTTATTCTTAGCCTTGAATTTTGGCATTGATTCCCTGAGCAGAGCTGCCCCAGCATGGGGTGTGCTGTTCCTTGCCCCGAAAGAATCCTTGGAGATAATTTGTCATTCCTGGAAACTAATGTTCTTCAGACCCATCCAGGAATTGTGCCTGCACTAGAAGCTGTGTCTGTGCTTATCACTTCATCCTCCTGTAATCCTGCTGTGGGGAGCAGGAGAGAAATTGTTTGGCCTCAGATGTTTGGGAGGACGAGGAGAAGGGGGTTTCATGGCGTGGATTTTGCTGGCAGTGGTTGCAGTTTGTGTGCTGGGAGAAAGACTCGACTTCAGTGAAATGGCTTGTGGATGATCCATTTTTAATTGTAAAATAATGAACTTTCAAAGCTGCAGTTCCCAGTGAAGCCAGTTAGTTCCTGGTCTAGCCCTGGCATTGTCCTCTCCTGCTGCTCCATCTGAAGTTCTCTGTGGAATGGAACTGAGGAGGTGTCTGATTTTCGGGAGAGAATGTGCTTTGTGGTTTTTAAAGGTTCCCAAGGGGCTGTAGGATTTAATTTAGGGACTTTTCTCTTCCTTACATATTTCATATTGCTTGAAATCAATTCTTGGCTTGTCCTGGGGGGATCTCAGTGTGTTTCTGCCTCTGCAAAGAGAGTCTCAAACTTAGGTTAGGAGGGCTCAGGTGTAAAACCTGACTTAAACCCTAATCCTACTGCTCCAGTCCAGCTTCACTCTTGCCTTCCCTGGCAGTTTTTCTGTTGGATTTTTGGGTTTGGGGTGATTTTGTAGCAATAGCTGTGGCTCTGTGGTAATACCTTCCCTCAGGTGCTAATTGATCTCCACCACTGATATTTCAGGCAGTGTCACATGAGGTGTTTTTATCCCAAAACCTGTGTCACTGCTTAGGAGAAATGGCTGGATTTTATCTGGGGAGAACCTAAAAGATTTTTCCTGAAAAAACCCATTATTTTTTCAAATATCCTGTCAATTTTTCTGTCTCATCTGTAGAGGACAGAGTAAATCAGCTGAGTTTTAAAAAAGGAGATTTTAATCCTCCAAACTCTCAAATAGGTTAAAAAGTCAGCACTGGCATTATCTCTGAAGGGTGATGTGCCTTCCCTTGGAAACAGTTTAGTTTAATACACTTGAAATTCCCTGTGGAAAGATGAGTCAATTCAAAGGAGTAATTATTCTTCAACCTGTTAATTAGTTTCAAGAGGGAGTTTCATTAAACTTGTGGCAGAAGTTGTGCACCACTTAATCCTGGCTGATGGGAGTTTGTGCTGGTTACCTGGACCTGTCTGGTCAAGTGCCATTTCCAGGGATGTTCACAAGGATCCTCCTTTCCAACGCCCTGATCTGTGACTTGCTTATTACCTGCAGGGGCTGTTTTTCTCCTTGATGAATCCTTTGGCTCCCAAGGAATTTGAAGAAAACTTTCCCTTGTTCAAGGGGCAGGGCCTGGGATTTGATTTCACTGCCATGTGGGATGTTACTCAATTCTTGGACGTTTCTTTTTGCATGAAACTTCAGAGTTAGTGCTGCCATTAATGTCTTTCATCTGTTTCTCCAGTACAAGGAAAGGATGTGGAGAACCATCTGGTGGATGTTCTTGGATAGGTTCTTATTCCGTGGTTGTCTGTGATTTCAGGAAACAGAATTTGACCTTCACGGTCCCTTGGCGTTCTCTGTCCTTACACACTCTCCAAACTATTCAGTGTATTGAGTAATCTGGAGTTGGGAAGTGTTCTGGCCTTTGAAAGCAAAACACCCGAGGTGGTGATCTCATTCCACCCTGAAATGCTGTCCTGGGGTACTTTTTGTGCTTGAAGAACTCTTTCTGTAAATCCTGTTCTGTTTTGACACCCATCCTGCTGTTTGGTGGACCTGCAGGATTCCCAGACTCCCAGGCACAAGGGGTGCTTTGGGCTGGAAGGGGCCTCAGAGGTGCCCTGGGCAGAGCAGCTGGACAGTCAGCTCTGCTCCAGCTGAATTTTGCTCCTTTGGGGATTCATAAAGTCCTTGACTCTGCTGTGCCTTCTCGGGATATTTGCTGGAACATAAGGAGATTACAGGAGGCTGCAGTCCTTGCATAACCATCAGATGTGAGCTGAGCACTGCAGAGCCCAGTCAAGGCCTGGCAGGAGGAAAGTGGGACAATCTGGAGCTGTGTCAGTGCAGCCAATCCCCTGGTCTTGGAACAAAAACCACAACTTTCTGTGGAACTCATGATTTGGGTTAGGAGGGACCTTGAAGCCCACCCAGTGCCACCCCTGCCATGGGCAGGGACACCTTCCACCAGCCCAGGTTGCTCCAAGCCCCGTCCAGCCTGGCCTTGGACACTTCCAGGGATGGGGACTCCCCAACCTCTGTGGGACTCACTGTGGGATTGAGCAGTCAGGTGACATTTATTCTTGGGTGGGGTGATGTCACCTGCAATCCCTCCTGACAGATTGAACCTGTCAGCTGGCTGAGGCCTCAAACCCCTGCAATTCCAGACAGCTGCTCCAAGGAATTGCTCTGTTTGTCTGGAAGTTGGGGTGTCCATACTCATGATCTTTGATAAAAGAAGCATTTTCCCCTCCTGCTGCTGTGACGTGTTTGACAACTTGAAGTTGGGGGTCAAGGCTTCTGAAAGGTGTGTGAAGCAGCTCTTCATCCTCCAGAAAGAGCAAGGATTCTTTGTGAAACATAAATATAAATGTATATATATGTATGATCCACCGAAGGAGGAATTTCTCATCTGCAGGGACCCCCATAACATACCAGTTCACAATCTTACAACTGTGTGTTGAGTGTGAGAAGGATCATAATCCCCTTCCACAAGCACCAAGTCCAGAGACTGAGGACTCAAAGATTCTCACCTCACAGAGCTCGTGTTTCATGGCTTTTGGCCAGATATATTCCTTTTGAGGGAAAGTCATTATTTTCTCTCCTTCAGATAAACTGTAAATATCTGTCTTTCTGTTCCTGGTGGAAGTTGTTTGTTGTGGCTGAAGTGACCCCTCGCTCACCCCACGCCTGTCTCTGTGCTTGTTTTCCCTGTCCTGGATCCAGGAGTCTCAGCAGATGCTGGGGAGGTTGATCCCAGAAAAGCAGCTGCTCAATGATCAGCTCAAGCAAGTCCAGCAGAACAGTTTGCACAGTGAGTACATTTTTGGGTGTGTCTCACTTTGGGTGGGACACGTTCCCTCCTCCCAGTGTCCCCTGGAATTGCTTTCTGTGTGTTGCAAGCTCCATATTGAAAAATGGTGCTTTCTGTGACCCAGTGGGCTCCATATAAGGAAATAATTATTTGCCAATGTGTTTAAAACCAGGAGATTCTCTTCTTACCATCAAAAGAGCCCTGGAAGCCAAGGAGCTGGCACGGCAGCAGCTCCGGGACCAGCTGGATGAGGTGGAGAAGGAAACCCGATCCAAACTGCAGGAAATTGATATTTTCAACAATCAGCTGAAGGTAACCCAGGACTCATTAATGACCCTTCCTTCTCAGTGTTCAGTGAACCATTTTCTGACTTGAATGTGGCAAAAAATAACTGAAGTGGCTGATTTAGATAGTCAGGTTTGGGAGCATTCTCCAGTCTGTCTTTTGGGGGTTTGATTTGATTTTTATTTTATTTTATTTTTAACAAAACGCTACTTAGCTTTCCAACTCAGAGTTTGAATCACCTCAATCTGCAGAGTCTCTTCAGGGGTAAATTTGAGCTCTGGTTCTGATTGCAAGTCTGAAATTGCCTCTTCCTGTGCTTTGGCAACCAAGGAGTGCCAGTAGGTCAAACCTGCTGGAATCAGGAGTTCAAACTGAAATCTTGAATTAAAAAGACTTGATTTCCTCCTGCCATCAGAATTTCACCTGCTGTTCATCCTCCCCTGGTGTCCCTGAGTGTGGGTGTCTGTGGGTTGTGGTTTCCTGCTTTGTTGCTCAGTCTCGTGTGAGACCTGTGTGATTTTTGTGTCTTTCTGCACAAGAACTGTGCCTGTTCTTCAGAGAGAAGGTACAAATCAGTCTGCAGTTACAAACCTCTAATAACATTCATTTTTTCATTAAACATTCCAATGTTAAAGTAGCTGATCTGCCAGTTCCCCTGAGGGGTTCTCCTGAAAGCTGAGCAAAAAAATCCCCAATTTCCTGCAAGGTGTCAGAAATTGTGCTGTAAGTGTTCAGCAGGAAAATCACTGGAATAGAGACATTGATGGTTCTGGAGTTGTCTTGGGATTAAATCAGAAACCTTAGAATGGAAGGTGGGTTTGTAGTTAAGCAACAAATAGCTTGGTTAATATTAAAGTTATTAATAACTGTAGGAAAAATTAAAAACTGACTCAAAACCTGAGGGAGTAAGGAAGGGGAGGAGTTCTACAGAGTCAGACACAACACAAAATAGGCTCAATTTATACCAAAAGAAAATAGACTGGTTTAAACCTTGCTTAATTAATCCTCGAGGTTTAAACCTCAGTTTATTTTCCTTTATATGTGGGTTTTGGACACATCTCAACGTGTTGTGCTTTTTGGGTGTTATTTTTTTAACGGAGTCCTTCCAAAGTGTTTTGCAGATCAATATGACCAAAGGATATTAATGCTAAAATTATGATCAATGTCTGATCATAAATTACCCAGACAGAATAAGTGGGCAGAGGGAAGAACAGTCTCAGTACTTTTGCTTATCTGCAACATCAAGACTTTAAGTCTGTTGCCTGTTCTGGTCACGATGTTCAAACACCTGGATGTGAAGTGTTCCTGCACAGCTCTGTCCTTGGTGATTCCAGTAGGAGAGAGATGGCAGCATCTTCCCTTTCTGCAATCCCCCAGAGCTGTAGGATGGGGAAAAGGGAGGAATTGTGTCTGCCAAGGCCAAAGCAAATGCTTTGGGTCCTGGGAAAAGGGCAGGAAAGGGTTGGTGTGGAAAAGCTTCAGTGAACACACGACTGCAGGGCCCTCTCCCCTGGGATCAAATGCTCTGCTTGGCTCAAGGGGAGAAGATTTGATGGAATCCTTGTATTGTAATCCCTGAAGTATCCCAAGTTCTGTTGCCTTTCTGTCAAAAAGCCAAAATCTTGGCTCAAACAACTACATTTGTTGCACTGAGGTTTTTGTAGCAATGCCTTGTCTGTATATAGTGAATATTGCTCTGCTTTAATTCATATCCAATATCCTGAATGTGGCTGTTGTGACACCTCCAAACCCTCCCTGTTGGTCTGTTTGTGAGTTCAGTGCCAGGGTAACAGTTTCTCTCTGCTTTTAAGGTAAGACATTCCTTGTCCTGCCCCCCCAGGAACCAGCAAAGCCTCGCTGTGTCTTTGGAGTTCCAGTTGTGCCTGGACAGCTGGAAGTTGTGTCTGTCCAGGATGAGTGTAGGGCTCTGTGAACATCCAGCTGGAAGAGCTCCATTGCTTGGCTCTTGAAGTGTTCCTAGAATTTTCTTCAGCTAGTTTCCTGTGGAACTGTGGGAGATGCTGGTTCTTCCCCCCCTGTGCCACTCATACTTGGCAAAGCAATGGAGCCCCTGTGTTGTGGGAGATACCCACCAAAGCCTTATTTCCTCCTGGCTGACCCAAAGAGGGATATAAATTGGATTTTTTAATCTCCAAAAATGCTCCATCCAGCCCTAGGTCTATGAGCTGGGTTAGATTTCCTCACCATCCAGGTGTGTCACTGGAAAGGAGGAATCCTGAACCAGCACACTGGCTGGGCTGGGAGGGAATAATGGGATTAAATGTCTATGGAGAACTTCAATAATTACTCAAATGGCCCTGGAGATCCTGCCTTAGCTGAGCACAGCCATGGAGTGCCAGCACAAGCAAACCAAGGAGTGTCATTGTTTGTGCCAGGGTTGGCAGCAGCATTTAATGATCACATTCCACAAACTCCTATGAGAAGCTCCCTGCTCCAGGCACGACTCAGCTGCAGCATTCCCAGTTTTCTACTGGGCAATGGAAGTGGGATATCTTATATTTAGTGGTGAGATAACTTATGTGCCTGCCCCTGCATCCCTGGAAGTGCCCAAGGCCAGGCTGGACGGGGCTTGGAGCAGCCTGGGCTGGTGGAAGGTGTCCCTGCCCATGGCAGGGGTGGCACTGGGTGATCCTGACCATCCCTGCCAGCCCAAGGCAGTGGGATCCTGTCAGCTGGAGGATGTTGGGCACCACAGCCCAGGTCCTGGGGGGTAGATTTGCACCTGCACAAGGTCTTTGGTGCAATAAGATCTCTCAGGAGAGCAGGACTGAGATCCCCACGGGGTCATTGTGCTCTGGCTGAGCATAAAATAGGGAATGGCCCAAATCCAAATTATCCCTGGATTGCAGTGATGTCCTTAGCAGAGTTTTAATTCAGACCTGGATGGGAACTGATTATCTCCTTAATGGTGTTGATTTCCTTTTCCTTGAATTTAAAATTCAGGAGGATCATTAGTGAAATGAGTCTGAGTGGGACATGAGGATCAACTTCACTGTTTAAACTTTCAAACCTCTCTCAAGTGGGTTTGAATCACTTGATATTTAGTTTAGTTTGTACTGTAGATCAACTTCACTTTTTTTTTTAAACTTTCATCCCTTAATCAAGTGGGTTTGAATCATTTGATATTTGATTTCATTTTTTTTTTCTCTTATGCAATTTTCAACATTTTGTTCAGTGCATGAGGATCTTCACAGGAAACCTTCCTGTGGCTGGTTTGTAGATTGAGAATTTCTGAAAAACTGTCCAAATACTTTCAAGATTAACTGTTTCAATTCCTGCCTGTACTATATTTTCATTAGAACATATCAGTTTTCCAAGGTGAACTATTTTCAGTGAAAACCCTCAGTTGTCACAGGTGAAGTTATCCTTTTGCTCCTTGGAATGCTGAGGAGTTTAAATGCAAAATTCCAGGTTATTCTAGATAAAATTTGTATTTGTGTTAATGGAGAAAACAAATCCATTCACTGGAAAATAAAACCCATTAACTGTGTTGCTGTTGTGAGAGCTCAGAAGGCAGATTTTTACATGGAAATTAATAAGTGAATTCAACAAACCAGCAAACAAAACAGAAGTGACTTTTCAGATTAAGCTTTTTAGAGTCCCATTTAAAGGCCTTCTTGTTTCTTAACCTTTTAATATCTCAGTTAAATGGATAAAAACAGGAAAACAGTAAGTGGTGTATAGACCTGAAATATCTGCCACTGTAGATGAGTTTGGACAGAGATCCCCAAGTGTTGCTCCTTCCCAAGGGAATATTTGGGGCTGTTAGTTGTGGTTCCCATAATATATGTTTACACATGTTTTCCTTCTTTTTCTCCAGGAGCTGAGAGAAATCCATAACAAACAGCAGCTCCAGAAGCAGAAGAGCTTGGAAGCTGAGAGGTTGAAACAGAAGGAACAAGAAAGGAAGACAGTGGAGCTGGAAAAGCAAAAAGAAGCTCAGAGGTAACAAAAGACTTTATTTGAGCCCTTAATTTAAACCTTAACACCTCTCAGAAAATATTCCTGTCAACTCAAAACTTCAGGGATTGAGATGAGATTTGTGCCTTCTGGTACCAACCTAATGTTTGGAAAGTGGGTGGGTTGGACATGAGGGGGAATTTCCTCCTGGAAAGGGTGGTGAGGCCTTGGCAGGGGCTGCCCAGGGAGGTTTGGAGTGCCCAGCCCTGGAGGTGTCCCAGGAAGGCCTGGCCGTGGCACTCAGTGCTCTGGGCTGGGGGACAAGGTGGGGATGGGGCACGGGGGGGATCCATGGGCTGGGAGGGCTTTTCCAGCCTCAGGGATCCTGGGATTCTGTGAGGAGCTTCTGTGAGGAGCAGCTTCTTCTCATGCATTTGTCCCTTATTTCATAAGTCTGAAGAAAGTCCAGAGGTGGAAAAGTCATGGAACAAACCAAAGCACACTGGGCATCTTTTATATCTTCAGAGTTACCTCTACTGGGGCAAATTGTTTCTAGCAGAGCACAGTTACCCTTTCCTTCTGTTGTCTTGTCCTCTGTTGGAGGAAGGACTTGTTAGTTCTGGCAACTGGGGATGTGAAATACTCTGGATAGTTCTGCAAGGCTGTTGTGTGAAGCTTTCAAATGTGTTTCCCCCTTACCCCTCAACAGCAACATGAGGAGTGTCACGTGTTCTGATTCCTGCTTTTCCCTTCTCATTGGGCTATTTTGAGTCTTACTTAGGGATGTTTGTGGCCTTGGGTTAGAGTGAGATGATATTTAAGGTCCCTTCCAACCCAAACTATTCCATGATTCTGTGATCCCACGAACAATTGTGTAAGGAGATGCTGGGGAGGGGTTGGTGACTCATCAAAATCAAATCAGCTCTTCCAGGGAATGGAAAAACCCTGCAGAGGACACTTTGTGCCATAGATCACCCCAGAGGACAACTGACTGGGATGGTCTTGGGTTTGAGTGGCTTAAAAAAACCCACCCTGGTTTTCCAACAGGCGAATCCAGGAACGGGACAAACAGCGGCCGGATCGGGGGCAGCCAGAGGAGGAACCTCAGTGGCAAAAAAAAATTCAGGAAGATGAAAAGCAAAAAAGGGAAGAAATGCCTAAGAAGAAAGAAAGTGAGGAGAAGGGGAAGCAGGAAATGCAAGAGAAGCTGAGTAAACTTTTCCAGCCCCACCAGGAGCCAGCCAAGCCAGTCCAGGCTCCCTGGTCCAATGCAGGTAGGGTCAAACACCAGGAATGCTGGTGGGGAGCCTCTGGAACAGTGCTTTTCTCTTCTGGCTTCCCATTTAATACAGGAGGATGTTATATTTCAAGATTGGCTTGCTAGTCTCAGTGAAGTAAATAATGGGCAGATTGAACTCTAGACTCCAAAAATTGTCCTTTTAGGCATCACTGTTGTCCCTAAAAGTCTGGGGTTCAGCAGAGTGTAAAGCACAGGATGAGATTCCCAGTGCCAAGTGAGGAGAGATTCTCAGCTGGAAGGGGCTGGAAGATCCTGATGCAAGATGTCAGAAATTATTTCTGTGTTTCCTTATTTTGCTGTGCAAAATGTGCCTTGGGATTTGTTAGAGCAGCACCAACATGTCCCGGGGTTCCCCTGGTCCCTCTCCTGCCTTCCCCAGGAATGTTGTTCACTGATAAAATGACCTGAAATCTAAGATTTAATCCCCCTCCTTCTGCTCTGCACACAGTTCCTTTTTGTTTCCATTTGTGCAGGGAGCAGAGAGCACTTTTATGACTAAATCCTGCCCAGAGGGGTTGTGGATTCCCCATCCCTGCAAGTGTCCAAGGCCAGGTTGGATGGGCCTTGGAGCAACGTGGGCTGGTGGAAGGTGTCCCTGCCCAGGGCAGGGGTGGCACTGGATGGGCTTTAAAATCCTTCCCAACCCAAACCATTCTGTGTTTCTACGATTTCCCCTGATGTTTAGAGGAGAAAATAGCAAGAAAATTGTCTTTAAATCGTTCATTTTCACATACAGGGCACGAGATACTTCCTGCAGACACTCCCAGCTCTGCTCATTTTTGTCACCACTTTCCCCTCATTTTGCAAACGTTTAAAAATATAAGGGGGTTTGATTATTTTATATTTTTTCCTTGTGTGTTTTTTTTCCTTTGCTCAGAAAAAGCTCCTCTGACCATTTCTGCTCAGGAGGATGTAAAAATAGTGTATTATAGAGCTCTGTATCCTTTTGAGTCCAGAAGCCACGACGAGATCACCATCCAGCCAGGAGACATCGTTATGGTAAGGAGGGGTTGGGATGTTCCTGCAGCAAATTTAAGTTGTGTAAAGAAAGGAAACTTCAAACCTAAAAGTTTGATGGCAGGGATGTTGATACAGAATAACCTCCAATTTTTTTCCCAGTTGTGTCGAAGTCTAGAGCAATATTTGCTCTTGTCTCTCTAAAATTAGAGATTTACAGGGAAAATGTCACTTTTCCCAGGAATATGTGATTTTAGGGAGCACTTCATGCATGTTAAAGAGAGATTTGCAGGGAAGTAACATTTTTCTCAAAACTGTGAGAATCTAAGGAGCACTGCACACATTTTTAAATAGAGATTTGCAGGGAAAATAATATTTTTGCCAAAAATATGTGATTTTAAGGAGCACTTCACACATTTTAAAGAGAGACTTTGAGGTCATGCAGGTCTTTTTATATGTTCCTTTTGGACTTGATTTTAGTTTACTCTCCCACAGTGGGGTAACTACTCTCTGTTCTCTTTATTTAACTTATTTTTGACAATAATTAAGCCTGATTCATGGGGGATTTCTCTCCTGCTCTGCAGTAATTGCTTAACTGGGCTACTCTTTTAGGCAGACTGATCTAAGTCAAATTGTGAACTTGTTATAATTGTGCCTTGCTTTGAATCTTTGCTTCCCTCTGGAGGTTAAAAGGGAATGGGTAAGTGCTACCTGACTCCAGGAAGGCTCTGGAATTGCTCCATTTCCATGGACACACAGTTTGTTCCCGTGTAGTTCTTGAATTCCCCAAGGGTCCAATTAACAAACTCCTTCACTTTATCAAAAGTAATTAAACTGCACCAACCCAGAGCTTACTTTTGATGCTGCGTTTGTGCTCCTTGACCCTCAGTCCTTCCGTGTTTGTCGTGTCCTGTGGTTCTCCCAGGCCCAGGGGGTGACTTTCCTGGGAAAACAACCATTTACAAGCTCACATGTTAAAGTGGCTCTGGCTGGTGGCATCAGTGCAGCTCTGGAGTTCAGCAGCTCTCCAGCCTGGAGTGCCCTGGGTGCCACAAAATCACCATTCCTTGGAATAACCAGGGACTGGCACGGGCAAATCGAGCACTTCACCACTGGAAGCTGAATTTGGACCCGTTTGAAACCCAAATTTTGACCCATCTTAAACAAATTCCGTGTCCTGATTTCCATCTGGACAGGAGGTACCACCCAGGCTGGGTCTGAGCAAAGAGCTGGACCCAGATCCATGGGCTGGGACAGGCGGGAATCCCGGCGGGAGGCTGGGCTGCAGAATTCCTTGTGGCAGGAGGACTTTAATGGATGTAGAGCTTGTAAATCACCTTGACAACAGTGTAAAGCACTTTTACACTGGGCATGAACCCTGAGACCTGTCTGGGTGGAAATGAGGGGGAAGGACAAGGGTTTGTTGGGAAGGAGGAGGATTTGCCAGGCTGAGGAGGGCTCTGCTCTCCCAGCTTCTGGGATGTGTCAGTGACCTGGATCTGGCCTCATGGGTTGGAGAGTCAGTGGCTTGTGGACTCTGTTTTTTAGTTCTCCCACTTTGTAGTTACAGGATTTTGTATTTTTCTTGGATTTTGGCTTTCCCTGCTTCTTATCTTTCAATGTACTTTAAATGTCTTTCACTGTGAGCTTAGACTGATTTTAATCCTGTCTGTGACTCAGCCAAGCTTCTGTGTGGGGACAGATATTATTTAAAACAAATTCCTAGTGACAGTTTCTCCTCAGTTTTGTTACTTATTGATTTTTGGAGTTGGAATGAGTCTTCTCTGTCTGAGACACAAAAAGAGTTCTCAGCTGTGACTAAAGTACAGTTGAATAAATAAAAACTAACCCCCCACACTATAATTCACTATTCAGGTGTACATTTAAACTCTAGTTGTATTTTGGAAATAAATATTCTGGGATTGTTTGTCGTAGGGACTTGGGGATGGTGGGTGTAAAAATGTAAGGAAGTTGGAAGAAATTAATTTTAAAAAGGTTCAAAGGAATTTGTTCAACATTCCAATCCTGTGCTGCAAAACCAGATGTGACTGGTATCTTATATGAATGAGTAAGAAAGCAGTTTTGTTATGAATTATGAAGTTTAAATTACCCTTCAAAGTGCCTTTTCCTGAGTGTTCCTGGAGAACTGAATGGGGTTGGATAAGCAGGACTCTGACTGTCCTCACAGGCTGCTTTGGGAGTTCCTGTAGCTTCAAACCCCCTCAGAAGAGACATTCAATTAGCTGGGTTTAAAACCTTTTGGTTGGGTTTTTTCTCCTTATTTCTGAAAACTCCCAGTGGTTTCTGTCTGACTGTGATTCGTGTCAAAGATGCTCTTTTTGGAGCATCCCCACAACAGGAATGTGGCTTTTCGGTGCTGTTCCTTCTGTGTGTTGGTGGCTGTGGTTCCTCCCTGTCCCCCTGAGGGAGTCCCACCTGGGTGACTGTTCTTAGTGTGCGGATGATTCAGCCTGGCCTGGGGTGCTGACAATCCCTTTTTCCCAGGATGTGACCTTCCCTCCCCCTCCTGCTGCTCCATCAATCCCTGGTGCTGCTGCAGTGGAAATTTTGCTCTGCACTGCAGTGAGAGCACATGGAGCTGGTCAAGCACAAAGTGCCTTTATTTCTGGTTTGCTTTGAGCTGACAGGGACTGAGCCAGAAGGAGGCCCCAAAATAAGGAGAAATAATGGGTGGGTTTGCACCAAAAGAAGGGGGTGGGAAGTTACAGGGGGAGGGGAAAAGTCAGCAACCAGCCCAAGGGAAAGGAATCTGTCAGGAGCTCAATGGACTATTCCAGGGACAGAAATCCATCCAGGGGCTGGGCTGATCCCCCAGCGTGGGCAGCTGGGCAGGGGGGGATTGTGCCCCTCTGCCCCTCAGGTGAGACCCCCCCTGCAGAGCTGCTCCAGCCCTGGGGAACAGCACAGCAAGGA